TGCAAAAAAGTTCTGTTCCTTAAAATTCAGCTGGAGTTTCATGCGTCGTGAAGCAGGGACAAAAGCGCCTTAATTTTCAATGTGGCATCGTGTGCATTGCCTTTGCAAACTGTCCCCGCTACAACGAAGAAATAGCCGGGACGCATGTTGCGGATATTGAATATCCGCTTCGTGTGCACTAGCTTGAGTATTGTCCCGGCAACATGCGTCCCGGCTATGCGTAAGCACGAAGGGGCTTTCTTATTCCCGCGACATGTCCGGAAGTGTACTGCCTTCAAGGAGGCATTTCCCTCCTTTTAGTCACGAGTAGAGGGAAACACTACAGCAAAAATAGTGCTACCATTTCGATAAGCGCGGTTGGCAATAGAGTCCCACAGGAGCTGTGACCTTCCGTATGCTAGAGGCTTTCCAGCACTTTTCCAGCAGTTTTACATCAGCTGTTTGTCCTCACCCAACCAATGCACGAAATTACAGAAGATAAAAGTATAGTAGTGTAAACCCTTATGACTCTTCCACGCAACAGAAATAATGTTTAGTCAAACTAATTCCGTTTGAACCTGTTTATTAGAAGGTGTTAACTAACCCTGAGTACGAAGTTATCTTTAGAAGTACTTTATTTTGCACGCTTTAAGTTAATACATCACTTCTATTACCTTAATCAGTACGTCGTTTACATTCACATTACGTAATTTTCTTGGCTAGATTTCTGCTGTACGGTGAGGACTGCATGAAACATTTCGTGACATTTGTTTGCAAAAATGCAAGTGCGAGCAGAGTCGATCAGCTGTCGATGCACTCCTAACCAATACGGTATTATAAAGCAGAAAAAAACAACAGTAGACAATCAGACGATTAGAAAACAAAATCAACATACAATCACTGCTCATGCAACCACAACAGCAAAATCCTCAATATTTTCAACATGATAGATGGTACTGTCTAACAAAACACTAACAAATACGGTGAACATTTACAGTGCTAAGCTGGGACAATACACTTGTCGTATAAGGCATGCCTGCTACTCATTTAGCAACAAACAAACAAACAAACAAGAATCTAGCTTATATCCATTGCATCTTTGCCTTGTTTAGTAAGAGCTTCGCGGAATCTTGCATCATTACGGTCCAGGTTCACCAGACGTCTTATTCCTAACCAAAAATTAAAGTTTTATTAGAAGACTGAAAGGAATTTAAAGAAAACGACAAAACTTTTAAAGTGCCTATGAAGTAAAAAATAATTCCTGCTTATTTGAAAGGCTTTTCAAATTAAAGAAGAATGGCGTTTTCCTTTTTGGAATATCTCTTTTCGTTTTAGAGATATTTACGTTTTTGTATTATGTAAATGAGGAAAGTGATGACGTCATAGGTGGTTCCTCTAAAACGGCACAACACTCAATCGAGAATAACTCTAGAAATATTAAAGCAGTGTTCTTCAAACTTGGAACCAGAAATGTACATCACAAAGAAAGAGAATGACACCTACTATGCTGTTGCCATGGCAACACTCTTGGCGCCAGTCTCTTTCTGTGAAAAACAAAATATACCCATTTGCAACCTTTTAAAGTGGGACAGAGGGTCTTGCTCGGAACACATGTGGTTCCCATATTGTCTTAACTCTCCCCATTAGATTCGTGGGAGTGGATGATCCTTGTTTAAGATAAAATCTGGGAATTTTAGTCTTAATTAAGACA